ATGTCCATTTGAATTTCACCTGATTGACCCATAATGAACTAATCAAATTTTTGTATTGAAATCTGGCCCCAACATTTCTCTGTCCAATGGTGAAAACCGTAGATCTCTAGCTCATTGCGTTCTTGAGTTATTCAGAAAACTGTGGCGGACACTATATTTTGGAACGGACTTTAGTGGCGAATCATTATCATCAACAACAGGCACTTGTACACTTACAAATGGAATTAATTTTGGCATTGAATTAGAAGAATGTGAATCATCGTCAATCTCACGTTGTATTCCAATAGTTGTAGAAATTTTAACACGTCTTGTTGAATTACGTGGAATTAATTGTCAAGGAATTTATCGACATGCCGGAGGTTTAACAGCAGTTAATTGGCTTGTTCATGAATTAGATAAAGGTGCAGAAAATATTGAATTTAATTCGGAAAAATGGTATGATGTTAAAGCTGTTGCATCCACATTAAAAACATTTTTTGCTAAATTACCCGATTCACTTTTATCATCAAGTTTGTTTTCGATTACTTTCTGTTTTATTTTCTGAATAATTTTCTTTTTTGATAGAAATGAGCAGTTTATGTGTGGAAGCAAGTCTAATTGAAAATCATTGTGATCGTGTAGTTGAATTAAAACGACTTGTTATTCAATTAGATGATTGTCGGTTTGAAACATTAAAATATTTATGCGCTCATTTTCGACGAGTCGCTTCGAAATGTCATATTAATAAGGTTTCACATTTTCTTAAACGATTATTGAGAGCTTTAGGTTTCTTTTTTTTCTATAATAGATTGATGCTAGAAATTTGCCAATTATATTTGGACCAACATTAATTTGGGATTCAAAAGCATCATTACAAGCAAATCTTGTTGATAATCCAGAAAAAATTAGAATTGTGGAATCTTTTATTTTATATGTATGTTCATATTTTTAATTATTTTATTTTTGAGATAAAACTTATTTGAAATTATACTTATATGATCTATTTTATACCTGTGGGGATCTTTTTTTAAGTTAATCTTCTTAGCCGTAATTCCAGTAAGAATAGAAGTACAATCTGATTTGGTATTAGATTTAAATATATTACCATAATTTTTAATTAAAAAAGTTTATAAAAAAACTGAAGGAATGTTTTAGAGACTGCGGAAGTCTTAAGTTTTTTCAGCTGAAAAATTCTGAAATTCAAGCAGATATTCTTGAAAATAAACTAAAATTCGAATTTTACTAGAATTCAATTGATTAAGGACGATTTTCAATAACATTCGGTACATTTTTTATTACGGAGACAAGTTCATGTCGTCAGATAATGTCAAGTGATAATTAATTAAAGGTTAATCGAGAAGATATAAAAAGTCGAAGATCAAGACATTATTGAAAATGTCAATCAATAGATTTCCACATGTCTCATATAAAAAACAACACAACAAGAAGACTTCCACTATTCATCTTTGACAGTCTCTATTTAATTAGAATATCGTCTTTTAATTCAGTTTGAATATTTTATTCTTTCTAAGTAGTAGAATTAAAAAAAAAAATAACAAACAGAATTTTGTTAATAATATTTAAGTAAGAGCCAGACACTGATCACAGTGTGATTTATCTGCGGAACATTACTTCGATTCTAAAAAGAAGGAGGGTGGATAATGTCCTTTTGCGACTCGAAAAATACTTCGATTTTTTGTATTGAAATCTAGTTACAAGTGACTCCTAGTGATCTTCCAAAAGTTGATCCAGTGATAGCGCTCAATCGAATTTTGACTCGCATCCGTGCTCTTCTACGAGTGGGAGCAAAGTATTTCTTCAGCATCCCTATCT